TGGGGGGATTTGGGGGCATTTGGGGGTTTTAGGGGGAATTTTGGGGTTTTTAGGGGGATTTTTGGGATTTTGGGGGGAATTTTTGGGATTTGAGGGGAAATTTTGAGGTTTGAGGGGGATTTGAGGGGATTCTTGAGGGGATTTTTGGGATTTGGGGGTATTTTTGGGGTTTAGGGGAGAATTTTCAGGTTTTTAGGGGGAATTTTGAGATTTTTGGGGGATTTGGGGGGAGAATTTTGGATTTTGGGGGGGAAATTTGGATTTTTTTGGGGGAGTATTTGGAATTTGGGGGGAATTTTGACGTTTTGGGAAGGATCTTGGGGGTTCTGAGGGAGATTTGGGGGCTTTTGGGGGAATTGTCAGACGAATTTTGCATTTTAGGGGGGATTTTTGAGAGGATTCTAGGCTTTTAGGGGGGAATTTTGTGATTTTGGGGGGATTTGGGGTGGAATTTTGGGGTTTTGGGGAGAATTTGGTGGAAATCTTCGGAATTCAGGGTGCTTTGAGGGGGATTTGGGGACTTTTGAGGGGGATTTTTGATTTTTTTTGGGCAAGATTTGTTTGTTTTCGAGAGAGATCCTAAAATCCTGCCCCAAATTCCCACATTTTTCAGTCATTCCATCACAAAACTCCACAATTTTCAGTAATTCCATCCCCAAATCCAACTTTTTTACTTCATTCCAACCCCAAAATTCCACTTTTTTTGGTCATTCCCACCCCAAAAAGACCCCCTGAACTTCCTGGGAATCCCGGGACGGAATTTTGGGATAAATTCCGATATTTTACTTTTTGGGGCGGGATTTTGGAAAAGGAGGAGGGGGAGAAGGCGGGATTTGGGAAAAAAAAGGAGGGATTTTGGAGAAAAGGAGGGATTTTGGGTTAAAAAGGCGGGATTTGGGAAAAAAGGGGCGGGATTTGGGAAAAAAAACGAGGGCGATCCCAATTCCCGCTGAATCCGGAATTCCGCCATGAGATAAACAAAATTAATAAAATAAAGCCAAATTCTATTAATTAAAAAATTGAAATAATTTAATGTAAATAAATTAAAAATAAATCAAAGAAATTCAAAATGGCGCCGACGCCCCCCGCCGCCATCTTGAGGCGCGGCGGTGCCGTAACACAAGATGGCGGCACCCACGTAACGCTCCCGCCGCTGTTTCTCGCCGCGTTTCAAACCGAACTGGGACCAAACCGAGCCCGCCGGCTTTGTCAGCACCGGTTTCACCCCCGGGACCGATTTGAGCTCCCGGGAAACCAGCGGGAGGCGGAGATACGGATAGCGGAGGGAGCCGCCATGTTGTACGGCAAGAGGAAGATGGCGGCTTTTCCTCTTCCGGTGAGGAAGCGGCGCGGGAACTGAGGGTGAACCCAAGTTTGAAATGAGCAAGGTGGGGATTTGGAGATGACTGAGAGGGTTTAATAAACTCTGGAGGGCTCGAGGGTGCTTCCCTCCTCTAATTTTGAGTGGTTCCGTCCAACCTCCCCGCGGCTTCACCGCCATCTTGAGGCGCGGCGTAGACGTTTAACAAGATGGCGGCACCTAAGCACCAATCCCGGTGGTATTTTGAAGGAATTTTTACTGCAAATCGCTGCCAAACCGGGCGAGACGGATCCGCCATCACCGTGTAACCCTCGTCACCGATTTAAACCCACGGGGAATGGGGAGAACGGCGGAAATGCTGGGGTTTATAACGCGCAGTGGGCGCCGCCATGTTGTACGGCAGGAGGAGTCTGAGGCGAACTTCCGGTTCCGGTGGGGGAGCGGCCCCTCAGCGGTGGCGGAGCGGGGGGTAAACACAGGCCGGGGGGGGCGGGATTTGGGGTGGGAGGGACTGGGAGGGAACTGGGAGGGACTGGGAGAGGGGTTTGGGGCAAAAATGGGGGAAATTTGGGAAAAAAATGGGAATAAAATGGAATTTTGGGGGTAAATTTGATGGGAAATGGGGATTGGGGATACTGGGATGGACTGGGATGGACTGGGAGGGACTGGGAGGGAACTGGGAGAGGGGTTTGGGGGAAAACATGGGGAAAAAATTGGGAAAAATGGGATTTTTTTTCCCAAACCAATCCCAAACTGATTTTCCCAGTCCAAACCATTTCAAACCAGTCCCAAACTGGTTTTCCCAGTCCAAACCATTTCAAACCAATCCCAAACTGGTTCCCAGTCCAAACCAGTCCCAAACTCGTTTTCCCAATCCCAAACCAGTCCCAAACTGGTTTTCCCAGTCCAAACCATTTCAAACCAGTCCCAAACTGGTTTTCCCAATCCCAAACTGATTTTCCCAGTCCCTCCCAGTCCAAACCAGTCCCAAAGTGGTTTTCCCAGTCCAAACCAGTCCAAACCAGTCCAAACCAGTCCCAAAGTGGTTTTCCCAGTCCAAACCAGTCCCTCCCAGTCCCTCCCAGTCCCAAACTGGTTTCCCCAGTTCATCCCAGTCCAAACCAGTCCCAAACTGGTTTTCCCACTCCAAACCAGTCCCAACCAATCCCAAACCGGTTTTCCCAATCCCAAACTGATTTTCCCAGTCCCTCCCAGTCCAAACCAGTCCAAACCAGTCCCAAACTGGTTCCCAATCCCAAACCAGTCCCTCCCAGTTCAAACCAGTCCCAAACTGGTTTCTCCCCCGTCCAGGCCGCGCGCTGCCGCTACCGCCGGGCGCTGTCGGAGTCGGCGCGGCGCCTGAACGCGCAGGGCTCCCAGCTGGGCTCCTGCATCGACCGCGCCCGGCCCTACTACGAGGCGCGCCGCAGGGCCAAGGAGGTGCGGGATTGGGGTGAAATCCGGGGAAAACGGGAAAAAGCGAAAAAAACGGGGAAAAACAAAAAAAAAATGGGGAAAATCGGTGGAAAAATGGGGAAACTAGGGGGGAAAATGGGGGGAAAATGGGAATTTTGATCCTAAATCTGAGCCCAAGGCCAGAAGGAAACAGAATTTAGGGCAAAATCTGGGAAAAAAGGGAAAAATGGGGAAAAATTGTAAAAAATGGGAAAAATTGGTGAAAAAATGGAGAAAATCGGTGAAAATAGGGGGAAAAATGGGGGAAAAATGGGAATTTTGATACCAAATTTGATCCAAAGTCTGGCAGGAGAGACAAGAAGGTGCCGGGTTTGGGGTGAAATCCGGGGAAATTGGAAAAAACCAAAAAAACGGGGAAAAACAAAAAAAAAATGGGGAAAATCGGTGAAAAAAATGGGGAAACTAGGGGGAGAAATGGGGAAAAATGGGGGAAAAATGGGAATTTTGATCCTAAATCTGATCCCTAGGCCAGAAGGAGGTGCGGGATTGGGGCGAAATCTGGGGAAAACGGGGAAAAGCGAAAAAAACGGGGAAAAACAAAAAAAAAATGGGGAAAATCGGATAAAAAATGGGGAAACTAGGGGGAAAATGGAAAAAAACCTCCTAAAATTTGTAGGAAAAATGGGAATTTCCACCCCAAAGTCCTTCCCACCTTCTCCAAACCTTCTCCAACCCATCCCAAACCTTCTCTATCCATCCCAAACTGCATCGACCGCGCCCGGCCCTACTACGAGGCGCGCCGCAGGGCCAAGGAGGTGCGGGATTGGGGTGAAATCCGGGGAAAACGGGAAAAAGCGAAAAAAACGGGGAAAAACAAAAAAAAAATGGGGAAAATCGGTGGAAAAATGGGGGAAATAGGGGGAAAATGGGGGGAAATGGAAAAAACGTCCTAAAATTTGTAGGAAAAATGGGAATTTCCACCCCAAAGTCCTTCCCACCTTCTCCAAACCTTCTCCAACCCATCCCAAACCTTCTCTATCCATCCCAAACCCCATCCCACCTTCTCCAAACCCCATCCCACCTTCTCCAATCCCTGTTCCACCTTCTCCAAACTCCATCCCACCTTCTCCAAACCCCATCCCACCAATCCCAAACCTTCTCTAACCCATCCCATACCCCATCCCACCTTCTCCAAACTCCATCCCACCTTCTCCAAACCATTCCAAACCTTCTCCAAACCCCATCCCACCTTCTCCAAACTCCATCCCACCTTCTCCAATCCTTGTTCCACCTTCTCCAAACCCCATCCCACCTTCTCCAAACCCCATCCCACCTTCTCCAAACCCCATCCCACCAATCCCAAACCTTCTCTAACCCATCCCATACTCCATCCCACCTTCTCCAAACTCCATCCCACCAATCCCAAACCTTCTCCATCCATCCTAAACCCCATCCCACCAATCCCAACTCTTCTCCATCCATCCCAAACCCCATCCCACCTTCTCCAAACCCCATCCCACCTTCTCCACACCATTCCAAACCTTCTCCAAACCTTCTCCATCCATCCCAAACCCCATCTCACCTTCTCCAAACCCCATCCCACCTTCTCCAAACCCCATCCCACCTTCTCCAAACCCCATCTCACCTTCTCCAAACCCCATCCCACCTTCTCCACACCATTCCAAACCTTCTCCAAACGCCATCTCACCTTCTCCAAACCTCATCCCACTTTCTGCAAGCCTTCTACAACTCATCCCAAACCTCCAACCATCCCGAACTCCATCCCACCTTCTCCAAACCCCATCTCACCTTCTCCAAACCCCATCCCACCTTCTCCAAACCCCATCCCACCTCCTCCAAACCCCATCCCACCTTCTCCAAACCCCATCCCACCTTCTCCA